GGAAGAAAGCTCGCCCGCCTCGCGCCTACCTCTCCTCCTGCAAATTATTTATTTTTTATTAATTTTCCAGCCAAATTTTACGGGGAGGGGGGGAAGAAAGCTCGCCCGCCTCACGCCTACCTCTCCTCCTGCAAATGCAGCAGCGGCGGTGGCGGTGGCGGGGGCAGAAGCAGCAGCGGTGGCGGCGGCAACAGCAGGAGGTGGCGGGGCGGGACTTTTGGGCTGCGGCTGCCCACCTTTTCTGTTGCTCGCCTCGCCCCGCCTCGCGCCTACCTCTCCTGCAAATGCAGCGGCGGTGGCGGGGGCAGAAGCAGCAGCGGCGGCAGCGGGGGCAGAAACAGCAGCGGCAGCAGCGGCGACGGGGGCAGAAGCAGCAGCGGTGGCGGCGGCGGCGGCAACAGCAGGAGGTGGCGGGGCGGGACTTTTGGGCTGCGGCTGCCCGCCTTTTCTGTTGCTCGCCTCGCCCCGCCTCGCACCTGCCTCTCCTCCTCCTCCTCGCTGGATCTTTCATGAAGGTTGGGGTGGGCGTTGGGCCGCATTACGAGGCGACCTGGGCCGCATGCGGCCCGTGGGCCGCGGGTTGGACAAGCCTGGTGTAAATACTCTCAGTATAGTCATAGGGTACAATATGCAATCAATCATACTAGGAAACAGTCCATATAAATCGTAAGGATACAAGCGACAAAGTTACAGTCATACAGTCACAAGTGGGAGAGGATGGGTGATAAGGAGCGATGAGAAGATTAATAGTAATAGTAGTGCAGATTTTGTAATAGTTGAACAGGGTTGAGGGAATTATTTGTTTAGCAGAGTGATGGCTTTCAGGAAAAAATTGTCCTTGTGTCTAGTTGTTCTGGTGTGCAGTGCTCTATAGCATCATTTTGAGGGTAGGAATTGAAACAGTTTATGTCCGGGATGTGAGGGGTCTGTAAATATTTTCACAGCCCTCTTTTTGACTTGTGCAGTATACAGGTCCTCGATGGAAGGCAGGTTGGTAGTAATCTTTTTTTTCTGCAGTCCTAATTACTCTCTGAAGTCTGTGCCTGTCCTGTTGGGTTGCAGAATCAAACCAGACAGTTATAGAGGTGCAGATGACAAATTCAATAATTCCACTGTAGAACTGTAGTATTAGATAACAGTTATAAGTATAAACATAATTATGAATACATGAAATGGATACGAATAAAAATAAAATAATTAGGACAGGGACGGTAGGCACGTTGGTGCGCTTATGCAAGCCCCCTTACAGACCTCTTAGGAAAGGCGTGAGGTCAACAGTAGACAGTCTGAGGTTAAAGTTTTTGGGGTTTGGGGAAGAAACCACAGAGACAGGTAGTGCATTCCAGGCATTGAAATGCAAGGAATTGCTTAACAGCGGTGGCAAGAAAGGTCATAAAATAGGACAAAACTCATTTAACAACTGTCTCAGCAACAGAAATTTTGGGCTCAGTTGCTGTCATAAGACGAGGACTACTTGCATTCATTTTTATGACAGATAATTTCAAATGGATCATGATGGGGTAATTGGGAGAGGCAGAAAAATGTGCCTGCCTCCGTTAAAATGAGGTCCCTGCTCCTTAAATCATTTCAGAATTGCTTTCATATCCTTCTCAGATTTAGAAGAATTTTATGGTGTTTATCTTGCTTGGAGTTTTCTATCTTATAACTGATTTTCAACCTGTTCCCTTCTTTCTGCCCTCCCCTTCTCCCCCCCAATCCTTCCCATGGGCTCCTTTGTCCTTTCGAATCTTTCACATGGCATTAACCGGATTTTTATATTTTACTAATGTTGTGACTTGTGGAGGGAAAGGTGCTCCGATTAAAAACGATGGAAAGAACAAATCAGATTAATAAACAAGCGTTGAGTAGAAAATCAGGTTAAATCTGTTTAAAATTTATAATACATAATCCTTGCCAGCTTTCGCAAACACTTTTCACTGGAAGAATTTACAATTAGAACCTGGAAAGATATTTCATCGCAATTTTGAGCCTGAGGAATAAGAAGGGTACATTACATATACGGAATTAACAAGGAAGATGTTTGTAATGGCTTCTTTTATTACATTTGGCTCCTGAGCATAAGCACATTTGGGGTGGAGAGATGTCAAGAATCACCACAGAATCAAATGTTTCTGTGACTTTGTTTCACTTCCTATCAGCTGTCATCAAGATGTCTTGATCTCAGGGACGAGGGGAAAGAGTCGAAGCCAAATGAAGAAAATACAGCAACTGAGAGGAGCATCGTCTTCTCATTGCTTTAAAGCATGGCTGGCTCAGGAATTATGGGAGTTGAAGTCCACAAGTCATAAAGGGGCCATAGTTCTCCACCTCTGCTTTAAAGTCATCCTTAAAATCCTTAGTAGAAGAAGGAAACTTCTGATCCACCCTGACTTATTGCAGCGGATGACTAGGATCTGGTTCAAAGGTTCTTAGTAGCCATTTCAAGATCTATGAATAGAATAGAGTAGAGTAGAGTAGAGTAGAGTAGAGTAGAGTAGAGTAGAGTAGAACAGAACAGAACAAAATAGACTAGACTAGACTAGACTAGACTAGACTAGACTAGACTAGACTAGACTAGAATAGAATAGAATAGAATAGAATAGAATAGAATACTTTATTGTCACTTTGAATGTACACTAATCGGCATACATTAAAATGAAATTATGTTGCATACGGGTCTCAAAGGGTCTCCACCTCTAATATAAACATAAACATGACAAGATAAATAAATAAATAAAAATTATGCACATACCCACATTTATTATATGACATGGAGAAACAACAGTCTAGTTTGCATGTATACATGTACATGGCAAGACAAAAACGAATCTTCCGAGTTTACCAGACAGATGGCATAGGGAACAAAGCTGCTACAGAATCTGGTAGTCCTGCTAGAAATACTTCGAAACCTCCTCCCAGAGAGGAGCAACAGAAACAGACCATAAAGTGGGTATGTGGGGTCTCTGACAATGCTGACATAGCACTTATAAGCAGTACCCTGAATGACAGGAAGCGAGCTTCCTATAATCTTCTTGGTTGTCCTTACCACTCACTGTATGGACTTTTTATCTGAGGCAATGATGCAGTTTGTTAAAACACTCTCAAATAGTGCCTCTGTAAAAAGAGGCCAGGATAGAAGGGTTCCTACAAAGAACAATTCTTAAGAAGTACTTTTATGCCTTATGGCTGTTCCAGTGAACAATAAGTTAAACTATTCTCAACTTTATTTTCATTTCATCACAGAGCCTGGGGTTGGCTTGGGCATTGGTGTTTGTTGCCTCACCTTGGAGAACAGCCTTCCGGGTATATATATTCACAGCTTGGCTCCAGGATCTGTGGCTAAAATGGATGGAAGATTAAGGTTAGTCCTGAACTGTTTTCTTAAAGAAAGTCCCCCCCCTCAATGCATCGTTCATCTGGTCATTCAGTTTAGGGGTCACCCAGCTTCACAAAACTCTGAGCAACTTATGACATGAAAAGCAGAGAACAGTAAAGTACCAGGAACAAAGGTTAGGGTCACAGAGAGGAGGGGGTCAACCTATTTTCCAAAGCATCTATAGGCCAGACAAGGAACAATGGGTGGAAACTGAACAGGGAGAGATTCAACCTGGAAATAAGGAGAAATTTTCTGACAGTGAGAACAATCAACCAATGGAACAGCTTGTCTTCGGAAGTTGTGGGAGCTTCATGACTGGAAGCTTTCAAGAAGAGACTAGACTGCCTTTTGTCAGAAATGGTGTAGGATCTCCTGCTTGGGTGGGTGGGGGTTGGATTAGATGACCTACAAGGTCCCTTCCAACTCTGTTAATTTGTTAAAACCGTTACCTTAGCAGATGGAGCTGAAACATAGCTTAAGTTCAGAATTATGGCATAGGGAGGGTGTGGTGACCTAATGATTAAGATGCTGGGCTTGTCAACCACAAGGTAGACAAGTTAAAACACTCTGAGTTTGTCAGCTGGAAAACTAACAAGACCCAAATGCTGCGTGATGGAGTGAGCTCCTGTCCTTGCGCCACTCCTGCCTACCTAAGAGTTTGAAAGCATGCAAATGCATGTAGATAGATACCACTTTGGTGGGAAAGTAACAGTGTTCCGTGCACCCCAGCATATAGTTATGCTGGCCACATGACTGCGGAAACATCTTCCCATAGTGCTGGCTCCTTTGGCTAGGAAAAGGAGATAAATACTGCCCCCTAGAGTCGGACAACGACTGGACAAGGAAAACATTTACCTTTACTATAAGATATGGTTTGGAAGTATTTCACTTCCAAATGCCTTCCTAATTCATTGAACTATAAGACGGAGAAGGAGATACAGAACAATTGTAATTGTAGCTTCCTGGAGTTGATTTGCTCATCTGGTCTATCTGTGGGGCTATCACAGTGGTAGGAAGGGCTTGCAGTGAGATTCCTTTTACGCTCAAAAAAGCCACAGGAAACCCAGTTCATGTTTTTGAACCCTTAGGAAATGCTCTTCTTACAGTTTGTGGCAATCCAAGATACTTGGCCATGACTGCGTTCTAATAGTAGCTCTGGATTATCTCTAGATATTTCATTCTTTTTTCTTTAAGCTTTGTTTTGGATCACGTTAAGACACAAGATGGCCACAACTTGTTGCTGGAAGCCTTAGTGGCATACACATTTAATTACTATTTCAGGTAGTTCTTGCTTAACAATGATAATTGGGACTGGAAACTCCATTGGGAAACAATACAGTCATAAGTACAAAAAAAATCACATGATTGCATCACTTAGTGTTAGTAGTTCTGGCAGTGCTAGTTGCCATCGTTAAGCAAGGACTGTGAGGACCTCACTTGATCATGGCTTGTGACTTTCTGTCTGCTCCCCTGTTGCTTTGCATTGTGGGAATCTGCAGGGTAAGTCACAAATAACAATCATGTGACTGTAAGATGCTACACCAGCTGTAATTATGAGGACTGGTTGTAACTACCGTTTGTTCAGCACTGCCATAAATTGGAATGGTCACTGACTGACTGACTGACTGACTGACTGACTGACTGACTGACTGACTGAATAAATAAATAAGTAAGTAAGTAAGTAAGTAAGTAAGTAAGTAAGTAAGTAAGTAAATAAGTAAGGATTAGCTGTATTATTAACTTGAGAGGGACATTGGAAGCTACATCCAAAAGTTTTGTAGACTTCTTTCTGACCTTGGGGCCAGCCAGTGTTTCCATGCTCCTAAATTAATCACTTGCATTACAGCCTTATGGAATAACTGGGTTATTTAACTCTGAAGGGTTTTAGACTAGATATATATCACTTCAGGTGAGATTCATTAATTCAGGTCAGAGTCAAGTCTTTATTATCTACATAAAAATTGAGAATTTAAATAGAAGTTAAAAGAGAACTAAAGGAGAAAGGAAAACAAGGAAGAATTGACAAACTAATTGGAAAGCAGGAGCTGGTTGCCCTCTCAGACAGGATCACATAGACTCAAACAAAACAAAATCCTAACAGCTCAGATCAGCTTGTGAAAGCAACTACTGTAGATCAGTCTGTTTCACAACTAGAAAAGTAATTTCACAGCTCCAGTGATTTCTAGCTAGTTATGCAATTTTTAGAGTTTCAATTCCGATTTTAAAGGATTTTGGCTTGTCGCTTAGCTAGCTATTAGAGAAGCCCACCAAAGACAAAATTCTTCTGCTTCTGATTAGATCTTTAGAATTTGGTTTCTTTTTAAAAATTGAATTAGCAGAGATGGCAAAACTAACTGGTTTGATTAGAGACAATGGACTAGGCAGCTTTATAAGAGACTGGAAGCTGCTTATGGACTTTCTACATGTTAAATACAATAACTGATGGTTATTAGAGGGATTTGAAGACTGTTGTAATGTTTGGGCTATATATGTGTGTGTATGTGTGTATCCATATATGTGTGTGTATGTGTATATGTGTTTGTATATGTGTGTATTTATATATGTGTGTGTGTGTGTATTGATTAGATGTTGGGTCAAATTGATTATTAAATAAAGATCTCATCTGGAATTTGTTTATATAATGTAGTATTCTTGTTAAATAAAGATGAAAGTTTAAAACTATTTGTAGACCCATAAGGTAAGGGGAGGATAATTTATCAGGTATTATTGTTGTTGTTATTTTGTTTTGTTGTTGTTGTTGTTGTTGTTTTTATTTTTATTTTAATTCTTTTAAGCATCCAGCCGGGATGGATTTTTTTATGTTTAATGTTAAACTTATTTGATATTTGGATCATTTCCCCCCTTTTTGTACACAATTTTTTTCTTTGTAGTTATTGTTGTTAGTGTTGAATGTATGTATGTTTTCCAGTTTTGAATTTTGGATTTATAGTTAAGTTGTAAATGCTTTCTGTCTGAACTTTTGGAGGTGAGATGTCTCCTTTTTTCCTTACATCCTGTCTGTGAAATGGCACTATTAAAGTTAATGTCCATCTTTCTTTAGCCGTGGTGATCAGATCCTGGAAGCAGATTCGGTCAGTTTGCGTCACGCAGCGCTGAGTGAAGCTTATGCCATCTTGAGTGAATGTGGACCCGGCCCAGTTAGCCTTATTATTAGCCGGCATCCTAACCCAAAGGTATGAAACAGAATGGAAGAAATTCAGTTTTTCTCTGCAGCATTTCCCCCTGAGCCTTGCACAATGGTTTTATACGTGAAAAAGTATATATTAGAACAAAAAGGCATGGATGTACCCCAGTTTAAAAAACAGCAGAATTGGTATTACTGATTAGTGCAGGATTGCCCAATTTGGTATATACCTGAATGGATCAACCCCCTTAACATTCTGCTAACATGGCCCAAACCCACAGTGGCTGGAGTTGTGATAATTGACATCCAAGGTATCTTAGAAAACCTGGGTTAATATATTTTTATTTTTTTCTCACAATCTACCAATAAACATGTTAGGCTTTTTCAGGCCCTAAGCAGCCTTATCACTGTAAAATCTCAGAGAGTAACTACTTTACTCTGTTTTATACTTTTAAACATTTTTGCTCTTTGTTGTGTAAATAGTTTACACCACTCATTTTATGATTTATTCTGGTCCCCTAAGGCAGAAGCAGGTAACTTATATGATCTTTATAATACTAAGACTTCTACAGTCCATTGCTATCCCCTGTATTAATATATAATAAAGGGCCTTTTCTATATTTGTACTTGCCTATTTACATTCATATACAAAAGCTTACTTATCAGGTTTCTGTGGGTCAAAAGTTATAGTTTCCACAGCTGGGTTCACATGAAACTCTAAATTGATGTGTGTATGAACCTATCATGGTTATTTACTGATTTGATATTACTTTATAGTCTGTCGTTTTCCAAAGATTCCAGAAAACATCTATGGCTTGTTCAGGTTGAGCAAAACTTGGATTTTTAAAAAAATATCTGATTTAGTATCATGTGAATTTAGTTGTAAGGCACCTAGTTTGCCCATTTATTCAGTACAGGGGAGGAGGGAAGCCTCTATCTGCCCTTATACTATTTATATGCATTAACATATATATAAACATAACATATAAAATATGCATTAACAGAGGGATACAATCAAGATCAAGTGAGGTACTAATACCACTCTATAAAGTCTTAGTAACACCACATCTAGAGTACTGCATCCAGTTTTGGTCACCACATTACAAAAAAGATGTTAAGACTCTAGAAAAAGTGCAGAGAAGAACAACCAGGATGATTAGGGGACAAGAGACTAAAACGTATGAAGAACGGTTACAGGAACTGGGCTTGGCTAGTCTAGTGAAGAGAAGGACCGGGGAGACATGATAGCTGCCTTCCAATGTTTGAGGGGTTGCCACAGAGAGGAAGGGGTCAAGCTATTCTCTAAAGCACTTGTAGGCCAGACAAGAATAAGGGATGGAAACTGAACAAGGAGAGATTTAACCTGGAAATAAGGAGAAACTTTCTGACAGTGAGAACAATCAACCTATGGAACAGAAATTGCCCTGGGAAGTTGTGGAAGCGACATCACTCGAGACTTTCAAGAAGAGATTGGACTGCCATTTGTCAGAAATGGTGTAGGGTCTCCTGCTTGTGCAAGGGGTTGGACTAGATGACCTACAAGGTCCCTTCTAACTCTGATTATCTGTTATATGGCTTATTCTGTTCAAGGATTTGTATCCTTTGATGTTCTAGAATAGAATATCAAGATACTTTTTTTTTCTATAGAAGATCATAAGACAAATAGGTATTGTTCTGCGCTTTGTAATATAAGTATTTTTAAAAAAAACATTAAATATGAAGATCACACATTAATTGAGGGGTGCCTGGACTCTTCTTCATACCTTTGAAGGAATTTTCAAAGGAAATTCATGTCAGGCTGATTTCCAAAGCATATCCTGCTAATAAATAAAAATTTGAATGTTTTAGTTTGGCCTATTTTTTTTAGAGATTACTTTTTACTATTTTGCACTTTGTAATTGCTTTAATTTGTATATATAAAATTCTCTCTCATCATTGTTCCTTTATTAAATTTGGGGTGTTGTTCTTACCCTTTCTATTTCATTTTATGGATAATTTTATGGACACAAACTACCCTTCTTTAATATACATATTTTATAGCTAATGTACATTCCATCAGACAGAATTATTTTGGTCCCAAATTACCTGGTATTCTTCTTTTTTTAAGTATTTCCAAAACCAGTGCCACAGAATATATTTTTCTTTCTTTGTTTTTTGAGTAAATATGACTCTGAAAGCTGATTTAAGCTACTAAGTTTATTTTGGAATGCATACAGTTCCTTTCAGTTATAGGAGTGTGCCTTGAGTTTTGAGTTACCCCAAAGTCAAACAAAAAAGACTGGTTCTACATATACAACCCTTTCCTTTGCAGTTGCCACCTTTAAATCGAAATGCTGCAGATGGCTTGTTGGAGGCTAAAGTATCCCACCTCCATTTTTTAAAAGCAGCTGGGCAAGGAAAAGGAAACTATAACAACAAATGTGATCTTTGCAGATAAATTCAATTAGAATGAGCCTCAGTGGTGCAGTGGTTAAGAGTGCAGTACTGCAGGCCACTTTTGCTGACTACCGGCTGCCTGCAATTTGACAGTTCAAATCCCACCAGCTCAAGGTTGACTCAGCCTTCCATCCCATGAGGTGGGTAAAATGAGGACCCAGATTGTTGGGGGCAATAGGCTGACTCTGTAAACTGCTTAGAGAGGGCTGTAAAGCACTCTAAAGCGGTATATAAATCTAAATGCTATTGCTATTGGTATAATTCCATACATTTGTATGATATTTTAGGAATCCACTAACCTAACTCCCTTCCTAGTGCAGAATCCATTAGAATATTTCTAATAATGGAATCATATACATGAATTTCATTCTGACTTGGAGACAGTTACCATCTAGAGAAAACCAACCAAGAACTAAAGTGAAATTTCCTGACAGTTAAAACAATTAATCAGTGGGATAGCTTGCCTCCAGAAGTTGTGGGTGTTCTAACACTGGAAGAGTTTAAGAAGAAATTGGACAACCATTTGTCTGAAATGGTAGAAGATTTCCTGCCAGAGCAGGGGGTTGGACTAGAAGATCTCCAAGCATTGTGATAGCATATTTTCAACTAAGCATCAGCTTCTGCAATTCCATCCTCAATCATCTTTTCTGTGGGTTGTATACCTCCAGATTCTTTAGTCATTCTTCACGGTCTTTCCTCTTCACGAATATATCAATTCTACTACAGTTTTACAAAATTTCATATCATGCAGATGTGCTTGTGTTTATCTACTGGGAATTTACTTCCTCTCCTTCCTCCTCAAGGATCCAGACCTACTAACTCCCTAGAGGAGATCTGGGGAGGGAGCAGGCAAAGGGCTGAAGGAGAAAGTTCCACGAGCAGCATCTGTTTTGATGGCAGTCTTTGTGGCATCTAGGAGACACGTACAAGAAAAGATATGTGATGTTTTTGGGGAGATGGTTGGGGGAATTGCATGGAGTAATAGAAAAAATAACAGAGTTGGAAGGGACCTTGGAGGTCTTCTAGTCCAAGAAGACCTGTTATTCTATTTTGATATTTTGATGCTGGGGAGCTAAGGCATAGTAAAAGCATTATATCCAGGAACAGGAAGCTCAAGTTCAAAGCCCAAGAGAAGGTATAACAAAACCCCCACTCTCAACTCCATGTGGTCAGCTGCACCAGAGCCACAAACATGGAAAAGTTCAACATATTGCATTTAAATTTCTACATGTAAAAAATATGTAAATACGGTACTGCTAAAACGTGGACTTTTGCTGCACCCTCAGCTGCGCAAATTTAGAAAATGGCACAGGAATAAAAGAACTGGTACATACCACAGTTTGTACATCATTATTCAAATGGTTACCATAATTAAACCCAACCCTCAGAACATGCAGACAATAACAACAAACAAGGACCATTGATTAATTTGATTATGGTACCATCCCGTTGGTGTCTAGTCTTAACAGAATGTCTTATAGAGACATTCTTTATGTCTGACAGTGTTGCAGCCATCCCACTGTAATTGAAAAACAAGGGCCATACAATTAATAACGTCAAATGAGTAAATGGTTTGCAGAACTAATTGTTCTCAGAGCTGCTATATGTTTGAAGGTGCCTAAGCCAAGATGTTCTTTGGTGGATTCATTTTTGTCTTCTAGTTCAGAGAGGGGTTTTTGTTTTGTTTTTGGCTCCCGATGCCACTCCATGCAGCGCTAGATTTTAAAATGTGGTTAGCAGGAAGGTTTATTTCAAAATCACGAAAAGAAAAAAAAAAGAAAGAAAAATCTATGTTACACAGCCTACATCAGCACTTTCAAGATTTCCAATTTCCATATTAAAAGAATATACATGAACTTTGAAGTAGTACATTTTGTTATTTCCTGAATACACCTTTAGATCCTTTTTACACCCCCCCTCCAATTTAATAATAGGTTTCTGAACAGGAGATGGATGAAGCCATAACACGAACCACCCACAGAGAAAACAGGGACGTCTCTTCTCCTCATTCCTCAGGTATGCATCTGTTTCTAAAATGGCATCAGATTTGGCTCTTGATTTACAGCATAGATACATCCCTAGAAAGTTTGTTCTGCGCACATTTTATGCAAAAGAATGTTATGTTTTATTTTTAATTAATTGGACAAACGAGCAGAAATATCTGCTGGGGGAGCAAAAAAAAAAAAATCAAGATGGTAGCCATAGCTATGCAATCATAGAGTCATAGGGCTGGAACAGACCTCGGAGGTCTCCATTCCAGACAGATGGCTGTCCAATCTTTTCTTGGAGACTTCCAGCCATGAAGTACCCACAACTGCAGGAGGCAAACTGTTCCACTGAAAATCTCTCCCTCTCTCTCTCCCTCTCCCTCTCTTTTTCTCCCCCTCTCCCTCTTTCTCTCTCTCCCTCCCTTCATCCCTCCCACTCCCCCCTCTCCCTCCCTCCCTCCCTCCTTACACACATACACACAAACAACAACACATAAACACAAACACCATAAAAAAAGAAAAAATTCAGGGATCAGTTGTAACTACAGTATAATTGGAGCTTCTGGATCTCTTAAATTCTACCTTAGCACAACAGCTTGTAAAATTGGCTCTTATTTACTCATAATTCTCTGGTTAGGCATTTAGAAACCTAGCAACCACCTTTTCCATATATGACCAACTTTATCTTTGCTGAAAAGGTGAACTGATTTATTAGTCCACGCATGTTTAGTGCCAACTTTTTTCATCAAAAAGCAGTGGAATAAAATAGAAAGCAATTCACATGTCCGTATTCAGCAAGGGATGATGAACTAATTAGGGGATATATAACTTTCTGTAGGCTGAGAGCAGAGTTGTCCTTTAACTGATGAGGGACAGAACTAAATCAGATTTAACTGACATTACATATGGCTACAAATTCTGGAAGGCTTCCTTATAACATAATTCCCACCCCTACTTTTTCTTTATTGCTCTGCTTGTCAATTCGAGGTTTGTGGATCTTTTATTTCTCTTGCACATATTTAAACTTCTCTGGTTGATAGGGATAAGAAAATAAAAAAGAAATAAATCCAGTTAACACAATAATTCCACATGGATTCCAGTAGCTTTCCCTTTTAGTCACATTAAAAATGAAAAATTATCACATGTAGATGAACGATTGATTATGGAGGAAGCATGTAACCCTGACATTTTAGACTAAGCATCCCTGATCCAGGGCAATATTCTTGCTTGCTGGTCACGGTGGATCACAGTCTCCTAAAACTAGATTGGCTCAAAATGATTCGTGGTAAATTCTCCTCCTCCTCCTCCTCTTTCTCCTTCTCTTTCTCCTCCTCCTCCTGCAAAAAGGAATTTTCCTCCAAACTTAACAGAAAACATATCCTTTTCTTTTCATGCTGCATTTTTATCGACATTTTTTTATGTTGCACAATTGAGAAGCCTGCTCAGTTTGGACTCATCGAAGAGCAGTGCACTGGTAGAGCAACAGAGCTGCCTGGTTAAAAGTTGCTGGAGTACTCCAGCTTTTCATGGCCAATATTGTCTCTTTCTGTTCTTACTGCCAAGAGGGGAAAGATGTGGTCAGTGCAGCAGTAGGAAACGGAGAAAAGGAATGTCTCGTTCGTCTTTACCTCTGGCTTCCCTTTGTTCTGCACTCTTGGCTCTGTTGACGGTGGCTGTCCTGGAGGAGAAAACTTTCTTGGCGAGCCAGCATCATCAGATTCTAGACTCTTTGGAGGAACTGATCCAACACTGAAATACCCTTGGGTAGAGTTAGAAATTCAAAGGGGCCTAATTTTCCTTCGGGTTTGAACAGCCACAAGCTCATGCTGTGCAAGCTGTGATCTGTGTGCTACTCTCTGCCAGTCAATTGTTCTTGGATGAGAAGTGAAACGTCTTCAAAGCAAAACCAGAAAGTCCAGTTGCCTCTTGAGGGAAAAAAAGCACCTTTGGGTCTCCACAAGTCAGCGAGCGACGTGAAATTGTGTAGTCATTTCTAGAAAGACAATAAGAAAAAACCAGCCTTCCCTCTCAAGTAAAGTCAAATGTGGAAACCCTGTGGGCGTGTTATGTCACCTGCTAACGTCTTCTCTGCCGAACCCAATTGTTTTTAACAGGAAACCTGCCAAAAAGTCCATCTCCAAGCGTGAAGTCTAAACAGACAGAAGCCTCCTCGCCTTTGAGCTGGACAATGAAGCGTTTCTTGGAGCCGGCGAGTCGGGTAAACCTACTTAGATTCCACCACAAGACTTTAAAGGAGGGGTAGTTTCTGTGGCCTAGAAAAAGTTGGGACTTCCTTGTATACACACACACACACACACACACACACACACATCCATGGGTGTCCTTCAAGACAAAAGAAGGTCCAGTAATTCTTCTGCTTCTTGTCTTGTAGGTAGAGCAGGGAGGAGGGGAGGAGCAGGAGGACCGATGGGGGGAGGGAGGGTGGCTTTTCTCATTGGTTGTATTGTCCCACCGGGGATTTCTTTTGTCAAAAGGCTGTTGTGCAGAGGTTACTGTTCTCACAAGAGGAAAATACACATCGGAACACAACACCTGCCAGAAAGTTCCCATGCGTGACAGAGCCGAGTCCCTCTTCCTATTCGTAGCTTCAAGACATCAAATAGTCAAGTCCCTGAAGGTCATCTTGTCTGTCTAAAAGTTTCTGGGCACGTTCCAGCAAATGTGCAAGGTCCTTTACTACAAAATGTATCGGGGTCAGAAACAGAGATTGTAGGGCCTGCTTTCTCATTCTTGCTCTCTGCCCTCATTTTTTTTTTTTAAGCCTTCATCTGTTCAGGGAGAAGGCTGACAAAGAGTTGAATTCAACGGAAAAGCCAGACTTTACCACATTAAGGAGCAATCAGGTTTTTTGTCGTTTTGGTTTCCAGTCTTTTTTTCCCCTTTGTTTCATGTTGCTATTTAGAGTGAGTCTCCTTGAGCAACATTCAATAGTATGTGAAAGGCAATTGAATAATTTGGAAAATGAATCAAATGGTAGTAAAAAAAAAGAAAGAAAGAAAGAAAGAGTGGCGGAATCTTAAATCAGTGTTTCTGAATCTTGGCAAACTTTAAGAGGTGTGGATGTCAATTCCCAGAATTCCCCAGCCAGCATGGAATGAAAGATCCAGAGGAATTCTGAAAGTTGAAGTCCATCCATCTTAAAGTTGCCAAGGTTGAGAAAGACGGATTTAAAGGAACGAACCATTTGAGAAAGAAAAACAATAGGAAAGAGAGGAAGAACTTTTAGCATGGATGATGATCTCCTGTCTTGGGCAGGGATCCCCAAACCTCCGGGCTGCAGCCTGCTACTAGGCTGCGGCAGTGGTGGGATTCAAATTTTTTTACTACCGGTTCCGTGGGCGTGGCTTGGTGGGCGTGGCAGGGGAAGGAGACTGTAAAATCTCCAGTCAGAGGTAGGATTTGCTGGTTCTCCGAACTACTCAAAATTTCCGCTACCCGTTCTCCAGAACTGGTCAGAACCTGCTGAATAACACCTCTGGGCTGCGGCCTGTTCGAAGCTGGCCATGCAAGTAAGCTTCACTTATGCAAGCGGCAGTGCTCACATGCAAAGCTCCACACTCGTGTAAATGGAGCTGTGCATACTTGTCTGTGCCACTCACACAGTACCATCCCCACTTCCTGTTCTGACCTAGGCTTCACAAAATCACAAAGCAGATTAGATTAAAGACAAAGAGTAGATTAAAGGGAGTAGACAAAACCCCTTTTTATTAGGCTAATGTGATTTCCTCTCATTCACATCCAGCAAAGTCCCAGCAAACAGCCTTTCTTTTTTTTCTTTTTTTAAATAAAATTTTATTTGGGTTTTCACACATACAAAATACAAGTAAAACATCTTTTTTGAAAATAGCATGGTCCCAGGTTGAACTTCTTTATACAGACACAAAACTCAATTTCATGCTCCTTTTTGTATTCTATTCCATATCTTATACTATTTTACATTTTCTATATAGTTTTTCCCCTCTTTTAATTTTCTCAATTTTATTTTGATCATCTCATCTCAATTCAAATCATTATATTTATACTTTTGTCTGTTCTGTTTCAATTTCATATTATCTTTTCTCATTAAACAAATTTTCTCCTGTAGTTACTAATTGGAGTATGACACCTTTATATCTTTTAATTACATCCATTCAACTCTTATTTAAATTTCAATATATACCTTAAGTTTATAACCTTCAATATAATACATAATACATAACTTCCAATCGAATTCTGCTTGGTACATTCTTATAATACACACTATATTCTTTTTTTAAAAAAAGAAAAAAAAAGATTGTAAATATATGTAATTATAAACCCTCATTCCATTCCAGTTCAGTTCTATCATTAATAATCATTAAAATCTTAACATCTTTAACACTTCTTTTCAATTAAATATCATACTTCCTTAAAAACATATAATCTCCATAATTAATTGTGCCGTTATTTCTCTTCACATATGTTTTGTAAATCATTAAATATTCATTTTGTTACATTTATTTATTAACAAGCATTCCACTGAATTACGATAGCTATTTTATCAAACATTTTAATCATACATTGTTTCATATTTTCTAAAATTATTTCTGTTTCTAATATAACAATACTATCTTATGTACCTTTGCAGAATCCCTTTTTCCATTAAGTTTTCACCCATTATCTCTAAATAGGCCCTGTTTCTCTATATTTTGCTTCTGTCCTTTATAACTTCTTTTCCTTTCTTTCTTCCCTCTCATCTTCTCCCTCCCCTTTTTACCCCCTTGTCTCTCTACTTCTAATTCTCTCTTCTGCATTTCCCTCTTCTGTTGCTTTCTGATTTTATACTTATTTTTCACTCTATTTTGGGGGGGAGTTGTTTTTCCCAATCTTAAACTTTCCATTCTCTTTCCCCCCTTTCCATTTTTCCCCCCATCTAAGATTACTTGTTCATTAAAGATGGCTTCTTCTTTGTCGCAATCTTCTTGTTCTGCAGGCATTTCTTGTTGTTTCTCATAATACCAAATCTCCATTTCTAAAAACTGAAATACGAAGCCAAAAGAACCTCTCCCTTCTTGTGCATCTTCTTTGTACTTTTTAAGTTCCATTTTCAGTTCTTCTAAAAGTGGAGCCATTTTAAACAGTTTTAAACAACCACCCGATTGATTTTAGTAATTCAAAACAATAACCAAGAATCCAGAAATCATCAAGTAATCCAGATAGTCCCGAGTTATATCTTCTTATTTCTTTTTCCACTTTCTCTTCCTGGGGTTTTTGTTGCGATATTTCAGTTAGAATGTATCTTTTGGAAGTCTTGTTGAGATTTTGCTGTAAGTTCTTTTTTAATTCCAGGCAGTCTCCTCCCTTCCAGATCCTACCCTTTTATTCTTTTTCTCTCCTTTTCTGTTTTCAAAAGCTTTTAATTATCCAGAAATCTTTATTATCCCTTTGACTTTTTATTTTCAGCATTAAATGCCTATTGATGTCAAAGTGGATTTTTTTTCCAATTTCTTGCACAAGTCTCTTAGCTGTCAGTATAGGAAAAGGAGAAACCCAAATCTTTTCCCTTTTCTCTCTCCTTCGCAGCTTAAAAATCTTCTTAGGGAACAATGTTATTGTGTTTTTTTTAATAGTTTCAATTCCAGGGTACCTTATTTGTTGCTTTTGCTGTTTGACCCGGTCAACCAAAACTTTATCTTCCTCCTGCACATTCTTTTCCGGTTGAGTTCTTCTTTGTGGTGGCCATTTCTGACGACCGCTGCAACTGCCTTCGGGAAAGGGAGTAATGGCCAGCTGGGGAGGAGAGATGCGGCTCTCCTCAACCCTGCAGGCAGTCTCCCCCCTCTTCACCACCTCTATGGGGTGGCTTAGCCCCGAAAACAGCTGGCTCGGGGCGCTCCAGCGGCGAGCACGGATCGAAGCCTCGCAGAGACGAGGTTTCGGTCTGTCGCTGAAGAAGCTCAAACCGGAAGTTGCAAACAGCCTTTCAAGAGTGATTTACAACCACAGACCTTTATCAGGCTTGGAGAGTTGCCAGGCCGATAGCTTTGAAGCGCAATGCTGTACCAGAAAATACTTGGCAAGGAGTCAGGAACAAATCTTCACCCTAATTAAATGAACTCATTGTCTCCTGCAAACACCACTCCCCTTTCGCTCCTCTTTATTCCCTATGGGAGGGGCCATTCACTATCCACTTTTTCCTTTACTCCCAAGTCGACCCTTGTTCCTTAACTGTTTCCGTCTCCTGGCAGCTCTGCTCATGCGCACATCGGGAACAGGCTCCAGCTGTTCTTCTGCCCCACTGATGTCCAATTCCGAAGGCAGCTGATAACTGTCGGACAGCCCCGGCCCTATTTCTGCCTCCGATGCAGAGCACTCATCAGAGCCTTCCCCAGACTCCAGGACTGGCCCATGTTCCTCCCCAACCTCCTCACTGTCCAAGTGTGCCGCCAACTCCATTGGCCACTGGTGGGCCACAATACTTCCCCTCCTCCCCACCGCTGGACTGCCAAGCTCGAAAGTTTAGGGACCACTGGTCTTGGGGACTGATTGCTGCAACATGGCATTTTCTTTTTCTGTGTTTATTTCAGCAGAGCTCTCTCAATTCTGAAACGGAGCTTTCCCAATACTTCTTACAAGATGGGGTGAGCCAATTGTCTCTCTCAGAGACTATTGTGACGGGATCCAGTGATGAGGAGCAATTTCGGCCCAAGAGTAGGAGCAGTTCCCTAGAAGAGAGCCTTCTTTCTTCTGGTAATCCAGGTAAGCTACAGGAGGCATTGGTAATACTTCTGACTTTATTGTCCTTTTCTTTTGCATAGAATGCATTATTATTCTATAGAAGAGGTGGGGAACGATGGCCTCTTTATGACTTGTAGACTTCAACTCCCAGAATTCCTGAGCCAGCCATGCTGGCTCAGGAATTCTGGGAGTTGAAGTCCACAAGTAATAGAAGGACCATCATTCACCACACCTGCTCTATAGCATCCTAGCCTTAATTTGCCCAGTAACTAGAGTTTGCTAAGTAGATTGCAGAATTATTTACAAGATTAAAAAAATAAAACAGCAGTTGCAACAGCAATAGCAACAGCAATAAAGCATATGTATAAATAACTCAGTGAAAATGCAGGCAAATAAAAATGAATAAAAACTATTATATAGAGAGAAACACAACAAGAGAGGGTGTGGGTTAGAGCCAGTTTGGTGTATTGGTTAAGGCACCAGGCTAAAAACCAGGAGATTTATGGATTCTAGTCCTGCCTTAAGCACAAAGCCAGCTGGGTGACCTAGGGCCAGCCCCTTTCTCTCTGCCGTAGGAAGAAGGCAAGGACAAATCACCTCCAAAAAGAAAACTAAAGAAACTTCAACACCAACTTGAAGGCAGATATTCACAAAGCGTTGCATAAAATCAAAACAATGTCATACAAATTATAATGTGTGTGTTACCCTAGTCCCCAAGAATAAGCACCTGAGAAGATAGGTGGAACCATCTCCATAAATAGAACCCTACAATTGAATGGGTTTGCCATGAGCCTTGAGTGCAGTTAAAGTAAAGATTCCCCTCGCACATACGTGCTAGTCGTTTCCAGCTCTAGGGGGCAGTGCTCATCTCCGTTACAAAGGCAAGAGCCAGCGCTGTCCGAAGACGTCCCCGTGGTCATGTGGCCGGCCTGACTAAATGCCAGAGGCACATGGAACACTGTTACCTTCCCACCAAAGTGGTCCCTATTTTTCTACTTGCATTTTTACATGCATTCAAACTGCTAGGTTGGCAGAAGCTGGGACAAGTAACGAGATCTCTCTCCGTTACGCAGTGCTAGGGATTCGAACCACCGAACTGCCAACCTTTCTTATCTTTCTGAGTACAGTTACTACAGCTAAAAAGATGCCTTCCCCTCTGGTTTCCCATCTTTCTTTCTTTCTTTCTTTCTTTCTTTCTTTCTTTCTTTCTTTCT